GAATGGTGAGTCACTGCAGGAGGAATTCATGTAATAATCTTTGCTGGTATTTATAGGACCAGGAGGATAAAATGTCATTTAATTTTATTTGATTAAAAACTACTAGGCAAGAGAGAAAGAGGAAGAAAAAATGAAGCGTCTTTCTTTTATTTCAGACATGAATGAAGAATGGAATATATAAAAACCATATTATGAAATGAGTATAGTATAGTAATTTCAAATCTGATCAGTGCTCCAAAAGGTTTGTGTTACCAAATGAAGTAATTTTGTTTTTCATTTAAGGTGATATTTGCTTTTTTTAGGTTCTAGCTGCAAAGTGTTGCCTTGGAGCGGAGCAGCTAGGTTATGAGGCATCTGTCTCAGTTCTTGATCCTGGTTTAGGCATATGATCTGTGCGGTTCAAAGATTATTCATGGAGTGCCTGTATTTACTTCAGAAAGTTATGCCAAAATGTACTTGATGTAGCCTTAGTTAGGTTTGCTAGGGTGCCAGAAATGCTTTAGCCTATTCCATTAATGCTGGTGATGTATTTTATCCAGCACTGTGTATTCAGTCTTGCAGTCACTTCTGCTTGAATCAGAGCGGTATCCTCTTAGGTAGTGCTCCTAATTTGAAGATCATGTCATAGTTGTCTACTGTTGCTTAAAAGTTTGGTTGGTTTGTGTTGCTTCTTTCAGAAAGGGCAATATAATTTAGCAAGCATGTGTTTATTCACAGTGAATACTTGCATGAATTCTTAAGTTATGCTTTTAGATGCTACCACAATATTGAGAGCTTGTCACTGTGTCATGGTACAATGAGCCTTGTCCTTTCTCTTCTTTCCTTTGCACTGCTAATTTATTTTTTCGGTTTACTTAGAAGATCTTCTGTATGGTTCATTAATGTTCAGCATATATAAGGGGTTTATCAAACTTAATCAAATTTGAAATTTCTGAAAACAGAGGCAGATGTGTGTGAGGAAAGGTGAGACTGTTAAGCAAAATAACAATAAGTATTCTTGAATGAGCCACAGGATCTTCAAAGATTGATTTGGGGAAAAAAAATAGTGAATATTTCTTAAATAACAAAATTATATGAATACATGCTCGTCAAAAAAGGTCCCTGACTCATCTTTTCATTTTCTGGTATGCAAACTTGATGAAACAAAGGATCTCCGTAGTACGGAAGTGTTGTTGAGAGAAAGGCAGAAAGGAACGAATCTGTATAGTACTTTCTAGAGATCACCAGGGAAGAATTAGATTTTTAGAAAATGAACAGATGTACAAGAAATAAGTGAATTGCTAAAAGTATTGGTGAAAGACTATTTTCTGGAACTTCACATTACTACTGAGTTTAAGTAGAATAAAATTATTCTTCCAAACTTTTTTTTTGTTATAAAGAAGTTATAAGTAGATGCTTCTAGTACTTCCTATATCTTCCTGCCAACATTGTAGGTCTGTTTCAGGACAGGCAGTGTTGATGTTCTCAAAAATGTTAGTGCTAGACTTCTAGCTATGATGTTAGATTAGAACATTTATTTGTTCTTTTTTTTTTTTTTTTTTTTTAACAAAACAACCAAACTCAACCCAGAATATATTACTCATGTTGATTAAATCTATTTTTTCCAAGAGGAGTTATGATGTAATTTAGGTTGGTTTTGCTTGTTTTGTGTTGCTGCAGAATAAGTGCAATCCAAAATGACACTTGAGACTATTGTGACCAGGATTTTTGAGTGCATTTCTGAGTGGGTTAATTCTATGCAAGAAATAAAAAGATGGGTTTAATTTTCTATTGTTCCTTCACATTTTTCTAAAGGGATTTTTCAGCAGAAAAAAAGTGAAAGGTCTGTTTATTGCTTATGTACATTATTTCTGGTAAGGATTAAATGGAAATAACTTGAGTGGAAGTCAAAGAATACCAGATATTTCTTGGAAATTTCAAGAGTAATTTAAGAAGATTTGTATATTTTTTAGAATTCATGTTGATTTTTGAAACTTTTAAGTGAAATTCAGAGTTAACAATTATGCTTTTATATTAGTACTTTTAATTTATGAGACATAATACAAATTTTACTAATCGGTTTAATATCCCGCTCAATAGTCAGTATTGGATTTTCACAAGGCTAGCACAAGTAACAATACAGTGCAAAAAAACCCCATACTGACTGCACTCTCTATCATGAGAGAGGTTCTCTGAATCTGATCAATGGTGATAATGTGATAGCTTATAGAGAACATATAAATGTTTTCAGTAATGTGGAATTTTTAATGTATGTTTTTGTGAAACATCTGAATTCTTGTGGTTAGTTGTCTATACAAAATTACCTACGCTTTTATGACTGTTTCGGTTTTGTGTTTATAAATTGGCTTCCGTGAACATACTTTTGTTTTTGTTTTGACAGAAGATTAATCAGAATGCTTAAATAGATTACGGGAGCATTTATGTAGTACAGATATTATATCTTCTGTAAACATAATTTTGTCTTATACATACTGCTTACAAAAAAAAACCAAAAATTGTGTCAGTTCTTTGTATGAATGGTGCAATTTAATATTGGATGGTGAGTCAACCAGATTTTTTTTTTTTTCTCCATGAGCTTTGTAAAATATTATAGGAAAATTCTACTTCTGGAGTATAGGCTTAGGAAACATGATGATATAACACAAAGAAATAAAATGATGGCAACTTAAAGATCCTGAAAGATCATAATATACACTTACTTTTAGCCACGGTAGAGTTGTATTTAGTGTTATGAACATTCAGTTTTATTACAGGATTTCCATTAAAAAGCCTTTATTTGTGTTTCCTAAGAACTCTTTCTGAAAAAATGTTTGAGTCTTTCTTCATTGCCTTTGAAATTCTGTTTTTATCCAAAGGGATTTTGTGGTTGAACCTTAGTTCTTTCAAGAGACAAATTAAAAAATTTCCCTTAAAAGGTGTTTACCTTTCAGGGTGTATAATTTTTGTAAATAAATTTAGTTTACATTAATCTCTATTTAATATCACTGTATTTGATAAGTGGTCTTCAGAAACTGTCTCACATAATACAGAAATAATTTCATAAGTGAAAAAACACAACCAGGTATTCATATTGAAGGATATGGAGAATTTGTTCTAATAGTTTAGCTTGCATGGAGTCTGATTTTTATTCCCTCTCACCCCCCCAGTCATCAGAGATCTGTTTAACCTACTGAGATGAAACAGTTAGGGGTATTCAGAGATGCAGAAACTAGAAAAGATTCTGTTCAGTTGCATTTCTACTTTGGTTTAAATACACTGTCGTAAAACAATAAAAATTGTTTCTTTCTAAACTCCAATATGTTTTTCATAGAGTATAAGATTATAGATACTTCATAATTTGAAAAGGAAATATTTCCTAAGTGAAATTGCAGTTATACAACCTCTATGTTGATAAGTGAAGAGCCAGTTATTTCTGTCAACGAAATAGTTCTTGACTTTTAAGCAGTTAAGTACCAGTGTTGTGAGGCCAAGGGAGGAAGGTGTGTGGGGCAACTTCTAGAAACAGTACTGCTGTTTTACATACGATAAAAGACTTAAACCAACATTAAGTTCTATCTAATTTTCATGCGTTTCTCTCATTAGGGGAATCATGTAGACTAACCTGCTTTGGTTCAAGGTGGCTGACTGTGTCCCAAGACTTTGTTTCTTAGGAAAGTCTCAGGAGCAAAGCCTCCTGTTCAGCCTGTTGGTCAGATGGACTCTGACTACAGAAATGTCTCCAGAATGAGCCTACAGAAACTGCAGATCTGTCAGGAGAGCAGTGTTCACCTTTCCAGAGTCTTAGTTCAGCTGCCCTTCTGCTTCTTCCTTCCTTGCTCTTGTTGGGTTCTGCTGCATACCAGTCCCTCAGTCTCCCTTCTTTGCAGGCAAGCCATTTGCTCCAGATGTTCTTGTTTGTGATGTGGCTGGGAGTTAATCAGCCTTTTGAGGTCACCTGATCTCTGTGTGAAATTTGATGACCCTTTCACCCTTCTCAAGTATGAGATAAAGCATAATGCCCAATTTTAATGTGCTGAATTTGTACCGATGTATGTTTTAGTCAGTGCATTCAAAGCTTCTTGAATGTGTCATCAGTTTTAGTTCAGAAGACTGGAGAGGGTGACTGTGTCTACCTGGTATTACTAAAAATCTTCCAGTCTTAGTTTGTGTATCCAAAAAAACAGACGTGGTGTATGTTCATGGGCATTAAGTATTCCTCAGGAGAAAGGAAATACATATTGTTTGTCAAAAGATGTAACTCAAGCCTGTAGAGTATGTCACATCAGCGATTGAAATGGGATTGCTGTTAAGGTGGGTATTCCTATGCTATCCTGCACCTAATTAACACATGAAGTGATGGTACAGAAGATATGCTGAAGCCCAGTTCTGCTCTATCTTGCTAACCTAAATACATAGCTTTGTCCTTGCACTGTGAACTCAAAATCAATGGTACTGCATTGAAAACTTCGATTTTCAGTGCTAGATAGGTTAGTCCCAGACAGGATATATATGTGCCTGTGCTGCCATCACACTTTGATCTGTGGTATGAAACTATGATAATGTAATTCTTTTAATTGATACACAATACATCAGCCTTCCTTTTAGACACATTCTTACAAAGCAGGTGGTGCTGATTACTTCCTATAGTCCCCGTTCCTATATATCTTTGTATCCATCAAATTAAGCAAGTCCAAACAAAGCAGTCAAATGAGTGGCTTTCCTCTAAACTCAGAATGTAAGGAAACGGGGAGAGTATAAAGCTGCAGTTGGTTGTACCAAATTATTATCCTTTTGTTCTGGAAGGATTGGCGGGGGGTGGAGGGGTGGTCACAACCCCTAAAAAGGTTACTCTGGCATGATTTCAATTCTGCACAAAATATGAAAGTATTTTCAGCAAGGCATCGTGACTGTATTGAATGATAGGTTTTCCTCCAGCATATGAGATTAGCAAAAGAAGCTTTATATCAACAGTTGGAGTATTACTGTTCTAAGGTAAAGGTGTTGTCTTTTTTACTCTGCAGCATTTCCTTGATATGACGTTTGGAGCCGGAGGTCATACTACAGCTCTCCTGGAGAAAGCCAGCGACATTACAGTATATGCACTAGACAGGGACCCCACAGCTTATAAAATAGCTCAGCAGCTTTCAGAATCATACCCGTAAGTTGTCTTCTCATGTCTTAAATGTGGTTGAGATAAGGTTGATACTGTGGTATTATATACACAATTTTATATCTTTTTATAGTTTTAATATGGTTTTAATGGCTTATTTTAGAATATGATTATAAGCTGTATGTACCCTGTTAAACAGGAGATCCAATTCAATTCATCAGTATTTGCATGCAAGTTCTCCCGAGGTTTAATTTTGAGGATTCGTCAAGTAGCCAATTTTATATTTAAAAATTGATTTACAGAAGATTTGTCTGGTCTAATGGCAGAGTTGTACGAAAACATGCAGTTTATAGTAAATATTTCACAAAAAATGATGGAATAATATACTTTTTAATAATGAAGTAATTTAAATATGGCTTTTGAATATTTTAATTAAAAAATAAATGTGATTCGGTATTAGTTTTGCCACTGGCTTCAGCAACTGCTAAACAATTTAATAAGCTACTATTTCTGTGTAAAGCTTGTGCTACAGTTTCTTTGAGTGCTGAATTTGCTAAATGAACAATAGCTAAATAAAATTTTTAGATTGTTTTAGTTAGACAAAGTTCTTGTTCCTTTATTTTATTCAAGAGGCAGCCCAGTCAGAGCATGAGTATATTAATGCAGAAGTGTGCAATATGTAGAGTTGAATATAAGCTTTTCAGAAAGTGCTATTTTTTAAAATTTCACCGAGAAGTAAAAATATGTAGATACAAAATGAAATAATTAATAGTTGGGAAATTTAGGGAAAGTAGGAAGGACACTTTCTGTCAGGTTGAAAACGTTATTTATTTCAAGAGTTTTTACATGAGGAAAAGCAAATCTTTCCAATAAGAAGAAAACTGGAAGAGGCAGATAAACACTTGGTTATTCAGTCATGTTTCCCCACAGAAAAAGGAGTTCTAAGACTGCAGTACAGTTCAAGCTATACAGAAGGTATTCTTCACCTTTTCTACAAGAAGAGGCTATACTGTGCTTTCCTTTCTTTAAGTGCCATTGTCAGAGGGCCAGTGGGAAAATGCAAGCATGTGACAAGAAAGCATAGCTCAGTTTCTAGTTGTCCTACTCTGTAAAGACCGCTTAAATGTATTTCTGTAAATTTTCAATTCTTTGTGGATTGAAGTGATATGGAGTATATACTTACAAATTTGTGGAATTCCTCTTTCAACTGTTATTTCTCCAGAGAATGCTCTTGTTGGCAGAACAGTGTAGACAATACTGGCAAGGAAAGTCCATTTTCTTTTAAACTAAGCCTGCAAACATGTTCCACCCTATGTCATGGGAGTTTTAAAGTTTTATATTCTTTGTGTCATTAAAAAAAAAAAAAAAAAAAGTAGTCCAAATTAAAGCTGATCTTGTCAACTAAAAATTTTCAGAAACATTCACACAAGGTAATGCAATCATGAATAGTCCTCTGACCCAATATATGTTGATCTGTAAAGTATGCTATGCAATACTGACTGTGAAGGAAATTTATTTTACAGATGGATGAAGAGATCTTACAGGTGTTGGTGGTTGTTCTGCCAATGATTGACATTATTAATTCTCTGTTTGCTAATGTTTGTGATGAGCTAGGGTCAATATCGTATTACAGTTGATGTAACTTCCTATGGCTTTATAAACAAAAGAGGTATCTTAGTTCCTATTTTTGTTCATAAAATCATATGAACTTGGTTTTGTGGACTCCAGATATGGCAGTGTCCACCTTTACAGATGCAAGTTACCATTAGAATGAAGTGGATTCTGAAATAACAGCGTTGTTAGTGAAAAGTCTTAATCACTGAAAGATGACTGCATGCTACTTGAATATATATTGTAAGATACAGAGCAATATTCTTATTTGTTTTGGTGTTTTCCCACATATCCCGTCTTTCCTACTGGAAAGAACAGGTGGGCCCTTTTTCAGAAGGTAAATATATAATTTTTTCATAATAGTTTATGCTGAAAAGGTAAAAGAATGTTTATATATAGTATATATGCTCATTATTAATCTGCTTTCCCTGGGAAGTCAGTTGCATAAAGCATTGTTAAATTAAAAGAACAAAGGAGGAGATATATCAATTATAAATAACAGGTAAAGCTAGGGTTTGCTTACAAATCAGTTGTAAGTATAAAGGAATTATTTAGGAGATATGGAGCCTTTCGTGAATGGAATATTCTCTTTCAGAATTCATTAAACATGGTTGATCTAATATTATGGGGCTTTATTGTCTGTTTTCTGCACTGTCTCAAAAATAAATATTTTACCATAATTTTATCAGTTTAACTCAAATCTGTGTTGGCATCAAAAGCTCAGGGAATTCCAGTTGACATCTTTATCTAGTCAGATCTACTCTCAGGTAAAACAGTTCCCAGGTTCACCAGGGAGCCACAGAAATAGTTGTGTTACCTTAAAAATGGCAATGACTGCATGCAGTTCAAACTGAGAGAAATTAAGGCCTGTCCCTTCTGTAAGAAGCACAGCTGTAGAGGTAACTGACTTGAACTGAAGCACAAAAATATAAACTCTGTTTTTCTGTGCTAGGGTTTTTTTCCCTATTCTGTTTAACATTACTGTTCTGGGAAGAGGTTAGTTGACTTGCTGAAGTGCTTCACTTTTAGAGGTGACAGCACAAGGGTGGGGAAAAGGCTGTTATGCAACTGTAACCAGTAAAATCTGGTTCCTACTGTGTCTGAAATTGTCAGTGCAAATTTGGACAAATTCAAAGTCATACATCAATTGAAATTTCTGTTGCCATTTTATTTCTACTTTAGAATATTATACCTGTTTAATTGAGGATGTTAATAAATTCTAGTATATCAACCACATGATGGATCTTGAGTCTTGCAGTAATATTTGCAGTAGTCAATCCTACCAAAAAAACTTCAATTCTAAATATTCTGTGTTAATTGCTGTTGTTTATTCTGGTTAGGTAACATTAATAACCTTAGTAAATCATATAGTTCTAACAGTTACTCACTACGAGGCTTCATTTTTTAAGCATCTTTTATCTTACGTCACTGAGTTATGAGATTACTAAAGCTCAAGTTGCAGAAGTATGCCGAAAGATATGGTTGGAAGAGGAGGTAGGTATGGCTAAATTAGGGCAATTTTCTATATTCAGAACTAATAAATTAAGTCCTTTTTGTACTTAGCTGAAAGACAGCTGGAGTAATAAGTTACTGAATGAGAACACTGAGGAAAAATACATTTGATATTTGTAGTTTAAATATATTTCTTTGCTTATTGGTGGTGATTTTGTCATATCTAAATCTGAAGAGGGTAATGTTCCAACTGCAATTCTTGCATTCATTTAGCTTCTCTGTTTATTATTTTTATTTTTTAAAATATGTAGTGCTGCTTTAATAAGGAAAAAATGGGTCAGGGCCTGTTAGATATTCAGTGTGTGGGTGGGAATCCTTTGACGTGCTTTCTGGGGAAGCCTCTAACTTGGGAATTGCTGCTGAGAATCCAGGAGAACAAGATAAAATTTAGTCAGTAGCAATATATATTACAAGTAAACCCTTTCACGCCCACTGAAAGGGAGAGGTTAGAGAGGTGGCTGAAATCTGGCAATTAATCAGTATCACTGCAAGCTTTTAAGTACGAGAAACCTATGCAAAGCCTACGCAGAGAAGACAATATTTTCTTTGTAATTCTCTGAGCAGAGTAAGAAGTTGTGCCACAAAAGTAAGGATAAATAGTATAGAATTCCTTATACAATAACTACCACTTTATTGTAGTTCTAAAGTAATTTTGAGGTGTGACGGTGCTTGTAGGTTTTGCTTCAGGGTTACACTGAGTTTACAGAAAAAGTGGGATAGAACCATCAGCTGTGTGTTTTATGTTCTGGGGAAAACAAATATTTTTGTTCAATTTTAGTGAAAACAGAACTTTTTTCAGTTGCAATAAGCTTATTTTACATGCTTGTGAATTGTAGCTGAGTGTATCATACATTGATGCTTTTGCTGCTATATGTTATCTATTTAGTCTGATATTTAACTTTTGACTGTAGTGCATAGAGGGATACAATTAACAGTGTGCAATCAAGGCATATTCATTTTAATGGTGCATTGACTACATGTAAGTTAATTACCTACAGCATTATTTCTTACTAAAGAATTCTCCATGTATGTCAACACCTGGCTGCTTCTCAAATATGAACAACATAGATAAAAGAGTGGCCTTAAATATGAGGTGGAAAATGCAAGTGCGAGCACTAAAAAGACCTTTAAATGCTGTTATATTAAAATAGTGGGTTTCTGTCATCTGTTTTGTTCCCTAAAAGTTTTATTTGGATAACAAACCCAAATACATTTCCATATAAAAACATAAAGAATAAAAATTCTATTTCTTGTTGCTGAAGTTCCAGCTGTGCAGGTTTCAGAATGACTAGAAACCTTTGCTTGATTTCATACATGCAGTCTGAACCTTCAGTGAATCAAGTTCTTGGTTCAAATTTGGGCCCAATTCAAAGTTTCCAGACGTACAAAACATCTGCAAGAGTCTACTTAAAACAATTGTTTCTCCTCCCTTTTACTTTTTACCTTCTTTTATAACATGACCCTTTTATTGCTTTCTTAAAACCTTGTCAACTTTGGAGGGAAAGGCAGTGGATGCTATTTGCCTGAACTCTAGTAAAGCCTTTGACACCGTTTCCCACAGCATTCTCCTGGAGAAAGTGGCTGCTGATGGCCTGGACGGGTGTACTCTTCGCTGGGTAAAAAACTGTCCAAGTCAAAGAGTGGTGGTGAATGGAGTTAAAGCCAGCAGGCAGCTGGTCACAAGTGGTGTTCCCCAGGGCTCAGTACTGGGGCCAGTTCTGTTTTAAGATCTTTATCAGTCATCTGGATGAGGGGATCAGGTGCACTCCCAGTAAGTTTGCAGATGATGCCAAGTTGGTCAGGAGTGTTGAGTGAGTGTAGAAAGGCTCTACAGAGAGATGTGGACAGGCTTGAATGGTAGGTCAAGGCCAACTGTATGAGATTCAGCAAGGCTCAGTGCTGGGACCTGCACAACATTGTATGCT